TAGGGTTTTGGGCTGCTTCTTAGGGTGCTCTTTGCCCTGTATTGATATAGGGGGGGCTTTTGGGGTGCAACCTTAGGTTTCCCATGAGGGTTTTGGGTTTTACTTTGGGTATTCCCATTACAGATGGGGCTTTTGGGGTCCCCCATTGCCATCTGTGGGGTTTTGGGGTGCACCTTTAGGTATCCCATGATGGTTTTGGGGCACACTATGGGTATCCCCATTACAGACAGCACTTTTGGGGTCCCCATATATCTGACATAGGGGGGTGCTGGCATCGATCTGAGTGGCTGTGAGCAATTCAGCCCCTTTTGTGTGTGTCCCTCCCCTACCCCAAACCCACAGCCAAAGCTGCCGACCCCAAAAGAACAGAGGAGGAGGAGGAGCTGATCGACATCGATCTGAACGCACCCGAAACGGAGCGGGCGGCTCTCGCCATCCAGGGGAAATTCCGACGTTTCCAGAAACGCAAAAAGGAATCGGGACCCTAAAGACCCCCCCCCCCCCCCCCCCCCCCCCCTCCTACCCATCAGCCCCCCGACCCCATTATTTGCATAGGGACCACAGCCCCATCCTGCTCCCCGACCTCATTATGGGGGCTCAGCTCACTTATGGGATCAATGTAAAGTGTTCAGCCCTAACCTGTAAGCCCCCTTAATTTGGGGGGGGGTGTCCCCAAATGTCCCCTATCCCTGCTGTAATGGGGGGGGCACCTCTCCATCCCCCGGGGTGACCCCATTTATCCCCCCCTTAATAGTGATGCTGATGTTGGGGGGGGTTATGGGATGGTGTCCCCCAAATGAGGGACCCCCCCTCCCATATCCTTTTAAAGGGGCAGGGGGTGATGAAGGTGAACCTATATTCCCTATATTTCCCCCCTCCCCCACTTTGCTTTTTGGGGGGTGAGCACTGGAATAAAGCAGTAGGAGAAGAGAACTGGTGTGGTCTGTGTGGGATCCCCACCCCCCCACCCCATAACCCCAAATCTATCAGTGTCCCCTTTTAGGGTGGGGGTGGCCCCTTCGGGTTGACCCCTTTTGGGGTTGTGGGGTGTCCTCCTTTAGGGTGGGGGTGGTCCCTTTGGGTTGACCCCTTTTGGGGTGGTGGGGTGTCCTCTTTTAGGGTGGGAGTGGCCCCTTTAGGGTTGGAGGGTTGTCCCCTTTTAGGGTGGGGGTGGCCCCATCTGAGGTGTCCCCTTTGGAGTGGCCCCATCTGAGGTGTTGTCCCCTTTTGGGGTGGGGGAGTGTCCCCTTTTAGGGTAGGGGTAGCTCCTTTGGGTTGACCCCTTTTGGAGTGGTGGGGTGTCCCCTTTTAGGGTAGGGGTAGCCCCTTTGGGGTGACCCCTTTTGGGGTGGGGGG